TTTCATTATAATATATTTCGTGGTATTCAGGCTATAAATATAAACTCTGTCTCTTATACACATCTCATTTGTTGTATCACAAGTGATAAATGTCGTTTTTGTGACCAGGGAACAGCGAAAATTTCACTGTTCCCTGGTGTGACGTAGCGTTTGATACCTGCAATAATCAGATAAGGCAGGGAACAGTGAAATTAGTTGTCCTGGTAACAGGATAAGAATATCACTGTCACTGTAATTATGTATCTATTAACAGGAAATACCATGGTGTACTGTAGTGTATACAATGAATAGACAATACATGAGAGTATTCAATCACTTTATTGAACAACACTTTTTGATCAGCGGCAACACGTCATATGACGGTGCGTTCTATTAACTATATATAGACAACATACATAGTAATAACACTTAACTAAACAAAATGATAACAAAATATAATACAGTTTGAATACTTGAAAGTAGGAAAACTCAGTACTAAATTAAATAAGCAATTAGATTGATACTATCAATCCAGTTGCTCATTTAATTTTGTTTTTAGGCATGAAAAAATTAATCTTAACTAACAATAATAATTACATATAGCATACAGAGCAAATTAATTTGATCTGTTCGAATATCTAAATAAATCCGTACAAAAGGTAAGAGTTTGAAAAAATACTGTAGGGGCGATAATTAATACAGTAAGAAGATACAGTATATATTTTTATAAAAATAAAAATAAAAAATAAATAAAAATATTATATAGAGGGCGGTAATTCATTTAATAATTTAGTTCGATATTTCCATAAAGCAGTTAGGTACTGAGTATAATATCAACACCCCCACTTACTGTCATGACATTAAACAATTAAATAATTAATCATTTTCCACATCATCGTTTCTATAGAATCAGTAGACACACGCTCCCGCTGGGAGCTTATTTTTATACACTACCAAGAAGCCAGACTCCGAAGGAAACATATTTTATTGATATGTTGTAGAACTGATTTTTCACAAAAGCATATTTGACAAAAAAATAATGCAGCGGTTGATGAGATAGATATTTTTGAATATTCAAAAACTGGGAGAAGGAAAGAAGGTGAAAAAAAAGTGTGGTTACGCCCCTTTTCCCCCCAGTTTTTAAATATTAAAAAATCTGTATCTTATTAAAAATCAGTACCGTACAGCGTATTAAAACAAACTTTTCCTCCGGAGCCTGGCTTTGAAGTACAAAGTCTTTTTGAATTTGTTCAAATGAAAATATTACAATATATGATAGTATAGAAAAACACATTTACCCGTGATAATTCAAGATGATAATACATTTTCTTAGAAATAGCAGAAATTGGACTTTCCCAAATAGTCAATTAAACTTGACAACTGACTAATCAGAACGTCTTATAGGGTAGTCATTATCTTGCCAACAAACACGCAGGTTTATGTATGTTTAAGCTATGTTTAAGTCCAAAACATTATCAACAACATGTACTGTAAATGGCGGGGCTTGGTGAAAAGGTCCATTATACATCGGCCTATTAATTTTACTATAATTGTCTTGAGTAAGCCTTAAGGTGTTTGGAAACCACTAAGCAATATCCACCCTGACCATGTTTAGAACAACACCAACGACAACAACAATAATAATAATAATAATAATAATAATAATAATAATAATAATAATAATGATATTAATAATAATAATAATAATAATAATTATTATTATTATTATTATTATTATTATTATTATTATTATTATTATTATTATTATTATTATTATTATTATTATTATTATTATTATTATTAATACCCAGCAAAGAGATGGAAAAAGCAGAAGCAGATATACATTTTCTCAATAATAATAACATACTATAACGGTTCAGGCATTATAAAAACAATTCCTTATTATTATATATACAGAGAATAGTCAGTCAGATAGATTATAAGTAATATATACATTAGATTAAAACAAAAATAGTGTTATTAAGTTCTCCATGAGTTTTACATTAATATGAAATCTGTTGCTTTTGTTATGATTTTGTCAAGATTTTTCTTTGATTTTATCTGTACTGGTCCTGTTTGTTCAAATCATTTGTTTTTTATCTGTTTATACCGTCTTTGTCTACTACTACTTATAATAATTTATTGAAGCTCTACTTTTGTAATAGTGGAACGTCATCACAGCTTTGGAGTGCGTTCATTACAAAGTAATTACAAACATTAAACAGATAATTAAGAGCGTTTAATTAGCAAGGTTTCTGATCAATTAACATTTTAGTTAAGAAAGGTAAAACAAATGCTAAAAAAACTTTTCAAATGCTAATATGTTGCTTGTCTCTTTAAAATGTTATCAGAGTTAAACGAAAACACACAATATTAAAAAAAATATATATAAAAAAACATTAAGAAAGCCAGATAATTTACTAAATTAATATATCCAAAAGTTTTTTTTAAATATTATTCAACCTTTATATCCGATGCTATTGTTCCTTTTCATTATAATATATTTCGTTGTATTCAGGCTATAAATATAAACTATACATTTATATCTAGCATTCTCATTAATCCTTTTTTAAAATGTTTGCAAGCCCTACTTTGCTTTCATTATTAACGTCTGTTGTCAGCGATCATTTCGGTTCCCAACCCTCACACCTTGGGAAATCTAATGGAGGCTTCGGCATTTCACTTGGTTCACCAAACTGCAAAACTATAACCATTCCTCTCTATGAAAATAACCAAGAAGAATTGTGAAATTTTATATAGATTTTAATATATAAGCATTTATACAGAGTATAGGCATTTTAAACCTACATCAGTCAATGAGATATATTTTTCTCAGTACTGTATTAGAACATTTATTTCCAGATGCTACTCATTATACCTAGATTATCAGTAAACCACGAGAAACGCGACTTTCAAAATAAGTTGAATTTTGGAACTTCACATTATAGTAATGATAGATATTTTGGTCACTCGTGTGTATTTTATATTATCATATAGACCTACGAAGGGGGCGCAGTGGAGGGAATATTTTTAGGTAGTTCCCTAGAGGGCTGGGTTGCAGTATATCTGTAACTTTCAAATCTATTATTTTAACATATTATTGAACAATCATACCACATCTTTATAATATCAGACCTCCTTCTTAGTACTAAACTGGTACTAATTAGTACCATTAAACAGTAAACTAGAGTTGGTTAGCCAAAGAGCTCACTCACCACTTCTGCGGATAGGCAGTTAAGAATATAACTATGAGCGGCAAAACATTTTTAAAAGAGCCAAACTACACTGTCTTTTGTTATGGAATTCTTTAAACGATAAATAAAATAATTGTATTTTTTTTTAAATAATAATATATTACGCTGATGATATACGTATATATATATATATATATATATATATATATATATATATATATAAAGACAATGGATGAAAAATGTCTACTTACTTCCCCGTGATTCATAGTATGACAATGAAAGAACCAGTAACCCGGATTTTCTGCCTTCATCCTTAAGATGGCGTATCCATTAGAAGGCACCATTACTGTATCTTTTAATGCAGCTTTGACTGGAGAATTTCTCAACAGACCACCTACAATAAAATTTGTATTTGATAAGATAAAAAATAATATCAAAACATCATTCGACCATCTAGAATATTCTTACCGACATTCACAATTTGAAATTATAGACTTAACCATCTATCCAGTATTCTAAAAACCAGATTGGAAGTTGTACATATTTTGATTAAATTTTGTTTATAGACAGGAACATCATCACAAGGCATGAGACACAAGACACATTCTCAGATAATAATAATAATAATAATAATAATAATAATAATAATAATAATAATAATAATATATTATAATGATAATAATAAAATAGTAATAATAGTAATATTTTAATAGGCATAATAATAAAAGTAATTACGTTTACTACTATTTAGTCTAATGATATAGGCCTACATAGTATATGTAGCTACAGTATATAATTATATTTATTTCTTAAATCACCTTCTTTGTCGAGTTGAATGACGTTATCGAGTGTCATTTTTTTAGTGTGGAATGAACCTAATCCCAAAAGACGGAAGCTGCCACCATGCATATGCATTGGATGTTGTATAATATCTTCATCAGTATTAAGAAATACAATTTCTACCACCTGAAATATAATGTATGTCAATATATTTATATTTGTTTCTGGTCAAAAGCAAAGTATTCCTGCATTTCAAACAGCGAACTTAATCCCTTTCCTCAGTGGCATATCCTCTTCTTACGGACCATATACAGTATGCGCTACTTCCAAGTCTGTGTCAGCCCATGGTCAGCCTGATATCAGCTGCTCTGGTTATCGCGATAAGACCTAGTTTCCAGCCCTTGTATGGGCCTTGTATTTGAATCAATGTAAAAATAAAACCAGTGATTGAATTGACTCAGTTAATTCCGAATTTTAATACATCAGCCTAAATTTACTATCCGGAACACAACATTACGTGATGATAAACATCAGACAGGAAGAGGTAGGCTATGTTCTCACACGGCTGCTAACGGTTAGCAGGATCCGGATCCTGCTAAGCTGCCGTACGTCCTTACGAGAAAATCCCCATCCGGATACCAAAAATATGATGATCGAATCACTGGCCAATAAGAAACTGGAAATTGTAAACGCGTACGTGTGATTGGTTGATGATAGAAACGAGCTCAACTTGCTAATCGATCGGGCGTTCTCACGCAGGTGCTAACGGTCAGCGCTAACGGTTAGCTCCCGATCCGGATACTAGGGCTCTCGTGAGAACCAGGCTGTAGAAGAGTTTAGAATAAGGGTAGGTACTCTATGGCTAAGTTCTCACACAGCAACTGACGGTTAGCAGGATCCTGATCCTGCTAACCGTTAGCTACCGTGCGTCCATACGAGAAAATCCCGATCCGGATACCAAGAACATGATGATCGAATCACTGGCCAATAAGAAACTCGAAATTGTAAACCAGTACGTGTGATTGGTTGATGATAGAAACACGCTCAACTTGCTAACCGATAGCGCTTGCTAACCGTTAGCGGTATCCGGATACCGCTAACCGATCGGGCGTTCTCACACAGGTGCTAACGGTTAGCGCTAACGGTTAGCTCCCGATCCGGATACTAGGGCTCGTGAGAACCAGGCTTATGGCTATATTCTCACTGGGCAGTTAACGGTTATCAGGATCCGGATTCTGCTAACCGTTAGCTGCCGTGCGTCCGAGAAGATCCCGATCCGATATCAAGAATATGATGATTGAATAACTGGCCAATAAGGAACTGGAAATTGTAAACGCGCACGTGTGATTGGTTGATGATAGAAACGCGCTCAACGTGCTAACCGATAGCGCTTGCTAACCGTTAGCGGTATCCGGATACCGCTAACGGTTAGCGCTAACCGATCGGGCGTTCTCACACAGGTGCTAACGGTTAGCGCTAACGGTTAGCTCCCGATCCGGATACTAGGGCTCTCGTGAGAACCAGGCTAGTGTTCAAATGTGGACTGAGGAAACTCCACTTTCGTAGACTTCTTCGCTCGATGCTGATACGAATAATGATTGATGCAGTGGCGATCTAGGAGGAGTGAATAGGGTGGATAACAACCCCCTTTCCGTTACCATTAAACAAATGATCACTCGTCTTGTGTGCGTGGGTGTGTGTGCTTCTCGTAAGTGTAAGTTACGTGTAGAATAGAAGGCTACACTGTAATACATGCACTTCTATTTTAAGCTTTTCAGATGTCATCTAAGAGCATCTAGCCTACTAATCCAAAAAAAAAAAATCTCAAATGGGAGGGGAATAAATCCCCCTCCTAAAACCACCCCTCCCATTTCTGTGCGTCTCGCATTATTCACTCCCCTTTGCTAAATCATAGATCCGCCACTGGATGATGCCAGCATCGAGCGAAGCCTTTCTTACACAAAAGAAGAAAAGTTATGAATAATTCATGAAATTTTACCAAACTTACCTACGAACAAAAACTTTGCTGACCGCGCCCTGCATCAGCGAGTAGAATCAGAAGATAAGGAATGGAGGCTTGTCGGTTCGAGCTCCTGGATAAAGAAGGACTAGCCTAGGCCTAGCACTACTTCTTGATGAAGCCGATTGCAAAGCACCGAAAGACAAATTAAATATGTCTTGTAAATATTCGACAAATATTGCAAGACGATGGGTGTTGAAATTGAGGAAATGAGCAAGAGCTATAGACACACCTTTGATAGCCGGCCTAGACTGTTACAGTAGTCTTGTAGGCCTCTAGCTAGCCTAGGCTAGGAAGTAAATACTTTTTCAGGGCTCGTAGAATCTATGGCTATGTTCTCAAACGGCTGCTAACGGTTTGATTGATGAGTTTATAAACAACATTTACTTAGATTAAATTTCATAAAATAAAAATTATAATATTTACCCACATGGAGTCAAAAAATATTTGTAGGCTAACAGAATTTAAAAAACTGAATGAAAACATTTTTTTTTACAAAAAAAACCCATACTACCACAAGTTGAAGCAATCTTGATTACGCAACGTGTATCGCGGTAGCTATACAGCCATTTTGTTTTATCGAGTATTTACAAGTTTTCTATTCGACTGGTCGTCTTCTTTGACAGGATTTTACTGCTGCGCAGGTGGGCGTGGTTTAACGAAGAACGGCCAGTCGAATACGCCCTATATTTGTATAATATTTACTTATATAAAATCTTTGACACACTTACCTTTCCGAGTTTTATTTTTAAAATATTTGTACAAACACATTGTTTCATGCCGCACGTATAGTAAAATGTTTTGTTTAGAGTTGACTGACAAATATCCGAGTCGTCTGGCTCATTCGTCACAAAGGGCAATAATGGAGGAGTATATATA